AAAGGCAGAAAACAGGTGGGCAGACAAGGAGTAAATAAGGCAGACAAGCTATTAGGCAGCCATAGAGAAACAAACCAGTCAGCCAGACTGTCTATTGGTGAGTCAGGCTTTTGGGGTAGCTGGCCAGTCACTGAGCCAGCCAGGTAGGCAGTGAGGCAGGCAGGCTTTTCTCTGTGTGCTGCTGGTTAATGGCATCAGGTGCTGCTGTCTGCAATGATTAGTGCTGGGGCTGGAGTAATGGGCTCTGATAACAGTAATGGATCGGCCCACAAACACTTAGCTCGGTTTACTCTCTCTAATGCCCCTCATGGCCCAACCCTCAGCAGCTGTCTGTCTGTCTGTTGACACAACTAACGGGAGCTCTACAATTTATAAATCACATTAATTCTTTTTTCTTTCTGTCCTTTCTTTCAGTCTCTGTCTGGGTTATTTTTCTGTATCCATTACCAACCATTCTATGTTATTTTGTGATTCATAAATAGACAACAAGACCTTCTGTACTTCTCTTTTGTTCTGTTTTCTCCTTATCTAACCAAAACACCACTCATTCACTTTTCACATTTTCCCCCACACATCTATTCACTTTCTATTCCTCATTCTTTGTCTGTCTCAGACTGCCTTCTCCTTCCTATCACCTTCTATTTCTCATTGGAGTAACCCCTATGATTAGTTCTTTTTACCTGGCCATAATTTCACACTCCTGTCCCTCTCTCTCTCCTGCTGTGTCACTCTCCCTTTCCATCATGTCTCTTCCTCCTCCCACTGATGGCTGCTGGAACAGGTGGCCTGTGGCAGGTTGTTGCTATGCTCAGCTTGTTGGTCTGCAGGAGGCTGCCTACCTGTGTGTGTCTATGTATGAAAGTCTGCTTTTGAATGTGTGTGGTGGCATATGTGCACATGTGCATGCATGGCTGTGTAGAGGCCTGTCTGCACATATGCTCATGTTTGTGCCTAAGTTGCGGTTTGTATGTGTGTGTGTGTGTGTGTGTGTATGTGTTTGTCTGTCCTGCTGTAACCCTTGGTAATAGAACGAGGAATAGGAGGGGAGTTCAGCCAAAGCAGGTGATTAAGAAAAATCCCAGCAAAGTGGCGGTTCTGTGGCCGTCAGTGGCCTCCTCTGGGTAAACAAGGGAGGAATGTGTGGAGAGGAATGAGAGCCTGGTCGCTGCTGCTGAGGACAAGGACAGAGCGGTTTATGACTTTGGGGGATTAACAAGCTGAAGTGGAAACTTTTCTAAATGGAAAAAGAAACACACTGTTCAGTAATAGGCTTGGGGGTGGGAATACAGCAGGCCAGGCTATACTGTATGGGCAAGGGGGTATCTGCACAAGGACAAACACCAAATAATAGGTATATACTGTATATGTGCATATAGTTAAAAACAAGTGCACAAACTAACAGACATCAACCAAGACAAACTCACCCACTGGCAGACACACTGTCAAACAGGCTTGGAAAGAAATAATTCACCTTTTAATGTTTCCTGGAGGTAGGATTCATCTGACAAGTGTCTCTTTAAAGTCAATGTGTATATACACATATGGTGTGCAAGTGTTTGCCTGTACAACAGTGGGCTTGGTCATGTGCCTTTAAATCAGTGCCTCCATGTCACATTAGTATCATCATCAGTGGGTACCTGGCAAAACCAACTCCTCTGCTGACCCCATTGGCATCTCTCAGTATCCTTGTGGAGATGACGTGACCCAGCGGCTTCAGCATGTTCTCCAGCTCTTGCTCATCCATAGACACTGGCAAGTTGGAGATGTACAGGTTGGTGGGGTCTTGTTCTTGTTGCTGAAAGGCCAGGAGATTGAAGAGCGGAGGGGAGGAAGAGGAGAGAGAAGAAAAGACGGTATGAGAAATATTAATTAGTTACGGGAATTGCAAAAAACTCATCAGCTTTCTGTCATGAGCCATCATGTAACACAACATTATTACCAACAGTGCAACTCAACTCTAGCTTCACTCACATGATGTTTGGTGTTACTGATGCTCACACATTCATCTGCTCACATGCAATAAGGATACACCAACAGCTCACAGCAGATCTATAGTATGTGTGTGAAAATGTGAGTGTGTAGGCTACAATATGAATGTGAGTGAACAGAAAGCATTATGACAGTGCAGGTCTGTATTAACTTGTGTGGTGTACATATTTACATTGGAGTCCTCGGGGTGTGCTTCTGTGTTAAGTATTAAGATTAAAGATCAAGAGAAAATGGGACAGAAAGAGAAGCTGTGTAGTGTGTACTGTACAACAGTAGTGCCTAAGGGCTGCTGGCAGCTAGGTGAAGCTGCACAGCTGGTGGTGGGTTGAGCATGAGGTAGCACAGGGCGTGATGAGATCTACTGTAGAACAGCTGGAAACAGCAGCACAGCCCCCGCCAGTCAATCAGCCACTGAGCCAGGCACCACCATGCAGAGTACGTCACCCAGGCATCCATCCATCCATCTATCTTTCAAGTCAGTCTCTTAATTAAGCATGAAAATACATTATGTCATCCTCATCTCTAATTAGGCATGTTCATGATGCTGTATGCATGGTAGTATATTCTTTTCTAACATGTCAAATTACATTCTATCCTCCCACTCAGGTAGCAGGTAAACTGTTCAAATAGGCAGCCAGCTACCAGCTCTCATTTTTCACATCTTCTACCAGCTTCCACATCTCTAAACCTTCGTTCAGCGCTATCCCAGGTTAAAGCTATCAAGAGCAAAAGCAAGATGAGAAAAAGTGATCTGTGCTGTGGTTGGTAGCCAGCATAATGCAAAGAGTGAGTGAACATGGCAACATTTAAAAACACTTCCATCCAGTTCAGCACAGTCAGACGACAGAGTACCCTTGCGACACCTTCAGTGAAGATGTAAACTTATTGAAAACATCAAATATTTATCATGTACTCTTCATTTCACATGTGTGGTCTGGTTATTATGACGTGAGTCAACTGGATGTATTCAACTGATTTTATTTAATACAGTAAGTAATTAGTTTCTCAAAGATAATAACAGCCTTTCTTATCAGAAGGCTACATTTTGACCCACTTCAGATCAATAATGTGAGCAGTGGAGGCCCTTTGAAAGGGGCTTTGCCATGTACAAAGGTAATATTCTATGTGATGGGATTTATCCTTTATAACAGTAACATTTTAGCAAAGCATACATCTATATAAAGAGTATGAAGTGATATTAAAACTGACAACACAACAAAAGAAGAAGAGAAGCAAGGAGAAGTAGAAGAAGAGCCAACTCATTTTTCCCAAAATAAAATTAAGACACTGCACAAAAATAGAATTTAACTTACACCAGTAGTGTTGGAATCTGTCAGCGGCAAAACTTTACTTCAAAATTAATTGATTTAGCCTCAAACAAATGCATCAGAAAAGATGAAACAGTGATCTTTTTCACACACACAGGCAGTATTCTAAACAGCAACTTCAGCACAGAAGTCTGTCTTCGTCTCAGTTGGGGGTTTCTGGAGATACTTCAATTGCCACCTGCAATGTCTTGTTTTGCTTTCTGTTGATGGTGGAAGTAAAGGTTACAGAGGAGGAGAGGAAGTGCCTCCACCAGCAGAGGGGAAGACTAGTCCCTCCCCTGATTAATTAGCTGTCTTATCTGACAGGACATGTTTGAACTGATTAAAGCAATAGGGAGAAATCTAGTGCATAATGTGAGAGCAGGAAAACTGCAGCTCTTTCTCCTTAAACCAGGAAGTCGATTACTTAACTTTGCGGAAAACTAAGATCCTCATTCTTCTGCAGGTTTGTCACATCTATGTGCTTTAGAGCAAGCGAGAAAAAGCTCACAAGAGTTTATATAACACAGGATTTGGCAGTGAATGAAGCTTAATTAAGTCTGCCCATAAAAATTGACTGTACACGTGTCACTCTCCTGCTAAGTCCCTTTTGTGTGTGTAGGCGTGCAGCTGTGATTTCCTTTGAGTTTCACTGGTTAAGCGAGGCGACGTTTTTCAGTAGTTTGTAAAATAGACTTCGTATTCCAATGCAGACAGGAGGTCTGGATCAAAGAGTTAACTGACTGAGTCACTCACTGGCCTAAGCCAATGATGCTAGAGTTTGTGTGTTTATGTGTGTGTGCCTTTGAATGAAGGCACTTTCTCCAACAAGCATGTGACAGTACATGTGGTGAAAGAATGTGGCAGGATGTGAAGCAGCAATTTGTGCGCATGGGATAATAGCACAGGGCTCCGTTTGCTGGGAGGATTATCACGGGGAGGCCTCATCTACTCACGGCTGTCTCGCTAAGTTTTCTCTTTGATGACGTCCTGCACCACAAAGCCCTAAATACCCAGATGAGAAGGTAATGAGGAGGACTGGAAATGGGAACATTTTGACAGGAGGTGAGATGGGCTGGCCCAGTCCAGAAGGAGATTTAATTTCCTCTAATGTCAGCCTTCGCACACGCTCTGCTGTCAAGCTATGAATGAAAGGGTAATTGAGATGTGTGTGTTTGTGTGTATTTTCTTTCATAGCAGCCATAGATGGGCATCATAGCTGTACTGTAATGCTGTGCTTATATGCAACTTTTCTCGGTTTATGTGTGTGTTTCCCAGAAGCATAAGCATGCCTGCATCTTGTGTGTATGATGGCAGTTGTGTCTGTCCCATCACCATTGACCAGCATTGTAGAAGGTTAATGGAAAGGCTCCAGGCTGCGCTGGGCCTCTGATGAGCATAATTCCTTCACCTTGCCACCAGGAGGACAGGAGGAATCCAACTGTGTGTGTGTGTGTGTGTGTGTGTGTGTGTGTGTGACGGATGGCCCCCTCGCTAGAACTGACAACCCCGTAGCTGTTATTTCATTTCGACACCCTGCTCTGTTTACCTCACTGTAATTTCTGAGAACATTACCATGCTGCAGGGGAGGGGGAGTATTAGTAGAGAGGAAAAAAAAGCAAAGTGAGGATCTGAGTTAAGCAAAAAAGATAAAAAGGAGCTATAGATTATAGTGCAAAAGGTGAAAGAGAAAAAAGGTAAAAAAAAAAAAGGCTGGAGAGAAAGCAACACAGGGAGCCGACATGACAGACAGATATAACACTTAAAAGGAGGCTCTTGTTGCCTTTTGACAATGCTTGAGGGAAAAGAGACGTCAGCCTTTAGAAGTGTCATGTTCTGCCTATGGGGCTCTCAGGGCTGTATCCACTTAACTGATAAAAGTTAGACAAATAGATATGTGTCTTGACTGGGGGCACTGCATCTAACGCCGTGTTGAGGCTCAGAGTTGCCCCTCGTTATCTGGTCAAGACTCACTTCTTCTGTTATTATATCTTGCAGATTCTTAAACCATCTTTTTATCCTCTCTTCATACAGCACCACTAACCTCTCCATAGCCTCTTTCTCCAAGTCACAGTTTCATTCCATGCTCACTTCTGCACCTTCACACCTTCTCTCAACCTCCTACTTTTCCTACTAGCATACTACGCTGTCCATCAGTCCATTACTGCTTGTCCTTCCTTTCTTCTGCTACTTCATCCTCTCCCTCTATCTATTCAGCTTGCTCGGGAGACGAGAGCTGTATGTGTAATTGGCTCTACAGGGCTTCACGGCTGCTCCTCTAAACACTGATACACACTCAACAAGGATGCGTGTGCTCATGTACTAGTGTGCATGTGGTTGCCAATCCTTCACACTATTCATTCCCCTCAGGTATGCTACTCTGGCCTGCTGTATGACTAACCAGCAGCCTGAAAGAGCACAATTAAAGCCAAAGACAATAGGGCTCAGTGTTGTCTGGTTGGGGAAAACTGCAAGGAAGCAGTAGTTTCTGTTTTACACTGCTGCTGACAAGTCTGCAGAAGCTGGAGGGAAGCGCACCTTTGCTCTTGCATGTAGGACGTGCACTCAGATTTTGCTATGGGAACCTGAATCTGCAGAATGTATTCAAAAGACAAGCAGGCCAACCAAGTGGAAGGCAGGAGCAGGAGGATGCAGGACTGGGGAGTCAGTGAGGAGAGCAACATATGAGCACATCACCTCACTTCAAAAGCTTGAGTTTAATTTGTGAAGAGCCAGAGAACTCTGAGACAAAAAAGGTATCACTACAAAAGAGCCATCATTCTGTCAGCTGGCTAGTCAGATAATCAGACAACAGCAGGTGAAGTCAGTTGGGCAGCTTACTGCCCTTTGATGAGCGCTTCCCAACATTTTCTGTTGCCACTGATGCATGGATGGCAGGATCATGTTTAACGCTCCGCCATTGTGTCTGTTATCAAGCCCCTCTGTGACACTTGACTTCAAACCTCATCCTCATCCAAGAAGCAACATTACAGTGTGTCCCCATCCTGCCTGTCTCTGTCCATTCCAGCCATTTACAGCTAAGCTGGGGGACTTGAGAATACAGGTGTACACAAGGTCAAGTCAGAGTTCATCACAAAATCACATTTTTTACAGGTTGCTGCCCATTAAACAAATAGCTGGTCATTTATCTATCCTCCATTAGTACACGTCAGGTTCAAGGTTTTCTGTGTACAAAGTGGGATTCTACAGAAAGATGGTGAAACCAGGCTTAAATTGTCCTTTCAATCCGATATACATCCTTACTAGCATGCTGAGATATACAAATGCACATTATATACCCAAATGTGTCTGATCTAGATGTGCTCAATCACAGAACAGCATGTTACAGAGCAAGAGAAAGATGATGAGAGCACAAGCTGGTAATGAGTCAGGTCCGTCTGCTGCTCAGTGGATGGCTGACCAAATCCACATTCCTGTTTCAAACCTTCTGCTTGAAACAAAGGGCTGTGAGGCAAAGGATCGGTGCCATTACCCATAG